ATTAATTAGAGATGGAAACCAGGCAGGCGTGACGAAACTAGCAGCAAATAAATAGCCAGTCTCTTTTTGAAATCTCAAGGCTGCGATGACATCATTGACATTTAATTGCCACGGCACACTTTGGACCTAAGCCTAACGTCTCTCCTGCAAAACGAGAACCCCCATTAACTGTCTCATTAACCCAGACTCTAAAACGAGACCCCATTATGATGTCGAGGAATACATTAACCCACACTCTAAATCAAATCGATCATTCGACCTATTCGATTAAGATCACTCAGTCCCACCAACACGGGCATATTTCAAAAGCACGAGTCACAGTGATGACGTGGCCCTGTTGACTTCGAAGAACATCCTGTCAGGTTCAACTCCCACAAGGAACTGGGAATGAAATAACTGCCCAAGAGAGTCGTGCTTTCATTCACACATCTATAAAACCGTTGCAAAAAGAGAGCAGTTTAGGGGGGTTGGGGGATAAAATAGAGGATTCTACGGGAATTTTACTACTATTTGTGGAAAGAATCGTAGGTTGGGTAATATTTAAGGGTCAATAGTGGGGTAAATACCTGGTTTTCTAGGGCTTTTGGGGTAGAATGGAGATGGCCCGGGGGATGGGAAAAACAGAGGGGCTTCATGTTCACAAATAAAAGAAGGTTTTTGAAGGGGGGGGGGGGCTGTAGTATCAATGACCTGGAAGAGCTCGAACGTGCTTTCGAATCGAAGGACGGCCACTTTTTTCGAAATGTCGCTTGCCTCCGGCTTCAAGGTCGGCCACAGTTTGTGTGTCATCAAAAAGGTCAGTCAACTGGGAACATGCAAAGTTCCAAATCTCTTCACTAGCTGCATCACCCTCCTTGAAATGGTCTCTTTTCCAACCTACGAGAGATTTAATTACATCGATGCTCCCTCCCTGATCATACTTGCAACATCTCCTACCACGCAATCTTTGGCTTTCTTGTTGGGACGCTTGCTGACCTCACTGAGTTTCTTGAATGTAATCCAAGGGAGTTTGAAGGTGAGGTCCTCTGTAGTGCTGACGTGCTGTGTAAGCTCACTGAGGATTCAATGCGACGTGATCATCATCATGTCGGTAGTACCCAAAGCTAACAAACTGCTCTTTAAACCGAACTCGTCTTCAATCTCTACATCTGAGCCAACCGACAAATCCTCCTCCATCGACTCCTGCTGCGCCCTGGAATGAACCTGTAGCAAGAAACATAAGTGAGGGGACGATAGTAGACTCCTGCTTTTATCTGCTGTCAAGCTGCAAACAATAATTGCTCCAGAAAATCCTTCTGCCAAACAATGAATCGACTCTGCGAGCCATTCTGTGCAGTTTTCAGGTGCTTTTGGCAGAAAAAAAGTCATCTGCCAGAGACAAACACCCTCCCGGCAGAAAAAAAAACACCTCCCGGCAGAAAAAAACACCTCCCGGCAGAAAAAGCCATGCCGGCTTTCGGAACTGCAGAGTTCGAGGGCTTCTGCAGAGTGCATGCCAGCCTGCTTCAGGAAAAAAAGTGTTTCTGCGGACTCAAAAAGGGCGTTTCTGCAGAGTTTTTCATTCCCAGTGAGAGCACTCTGCACGGGCAAGTTCAGCCTCAGTCAATGCAACTGTAGAGAGTGCGCTTTTCTTCCTACTAGACAGGTCTTCCTTCGAAGCTGTACAGTGCTTACTGGATCTACGTTTGTGACCCCACTTGCCACATGCTTTGCACCAATCGTCTTCCTTAGTTCCAGAGAGCTTCTCTTCAATCGGTTCCTTGTGTCGCTGGTTGGTGGATTGTTTTTTTCGGCGACGGGGCCTCTTGGCTAATGGCTAACCGGAGTCAAGTGCAATGCCGGCTTTATATTGGCGATTGTTGTCGCGATCTTCCCTCAGCATCTCCTGGTACTCCAGTAGTTTGTCATACATTTCTTTCTTTCGCTTCTTCTTGTGCTCTACCTTCTTTATTTTGGCTGCCTCATCATCTCGCACCTTCTGCAATCGGCGGAGGAAATAGTCAGTTCCCTCTTCAACCTCCATTCCCAGTCTAGCGAATAATCGCCGAAAGAAGACATCGTATCCGAGGAGGTGAACACCGATTGCCATCGGAACACGGTTCCTGAGGGAAACAGAGCCACAGTATGTTCTGTTCTTTGGGGCATAGTGTGATATAAGGTTGTTGAGTGATTCATTGACTTGTGTATCTCCACCGTGCCCCACGTCTTGAAGCTTCCGTGGAGAGGTGAAGTTTTTCATGATCGCCACAAGACAAAGATACAATTCGCGATGTTTATCTTTGTCACGGTACACCTTGTTCGATCTTTTCCTTTCCTCTGCACTCTCTTTCTTGTGTTGACACCAATCCCTACAGTCTGTGTGCTCATCGAACATGTGTTCTAGAACGGCCTTTCCTGCACTGGGCCAATCGGAGGGTGGAAGCTCCTTCAGCTGTGGATACATATAAGAGAATCCCATGGATGTTCTGAGTATGTCTCCCTCAGTGATGAACCTTCCTTCTTCCTCTTCTTGAGTTTATACAAGTGTGTTTCCAGAGTCTTCTTTCTGTGAGCTGGGTCAGCGGCAAAGAGGGGTTCTGGGATATATCCCGGCAGTTCTCCTGCCTCCCTTCCTTGTAACAGGTACCATCTTGCCTCTATAATCCTCTCGGTAGCCAAGAATTGGAAGAGTATTGAGTTTGTAGAAAGCTTTGTAGTCAGCATTGGACCACTTACAATTTGCTTTCATTGTCGAGCGATAAGATCCAAAAGAGGATCCATGAAACCGCCACTGGGTGCGCCATAGCTGTGCAGACTTAGCTGTATGACATCATTGCTGAAACCCGTGTACAGTCAAAGAGTACAGCCAGCAATGCTATCATCCAGCACTGTATGTATTGCTGAGGCAAGCTTAGGTACCATGTGTATGCATGACATACAGCATGTATACCCTGAGTATGATAGGCATCAACAAACCTTCTCTAGAAGTGATCCGTATAGAGGATTGCCTCTCCAAAAGCAACTATCCTGTCAGTGGATTGCTCTCGAGGAAGTGTTGTGTTGAGTTGATCTATCTAGCTAGCATAGTAAGAAGAATCAAGTAAATGAATAGTAACCTGTGAACCCAGAGAGTACAGCCTAGCCCTGCAGTAGAGTAGTTCCTGCATGGCCTGTACCAGGGTAGTCAGCGTCCCACCAACCATTGCAAGCAGTGCTGGTTGAGTGGCTTCAACACCTGTGGAAGGAGATCTCCATCAGACTGAGCTCTCCATCTCCAGCTCTTGTGTACCTACAGCTGAGTTCCTTGGACAGAAACTCATAGGATTAACATTTTCGCATAGACACACAAGAGTGGCTACAAGCAGTGAAGAAGACAAGTGGAACAGTGGAAGACGGATCGAATCCGCCGACGCTTTGACTCCAGATCAAAATCGACACCGAAAACTGGAATCGCGACTGATTTCAGAGAAACCAAGTGATCCACCTACTAACCTGGACCTGCTCTACACGATAGACTTGGTCTCAGCTTGTTAATCACCCTGGTTACGGCGGCCGATAGTGGAATACCCACCATTGTCGATCTTTGATATTTCGCGATTTTCCTTACGGAAATTCCCAGTCGTGCATTCCCGAAGCAGGATACTGGCAAACGAACCGGTACTCACACGGTACTCACAAGACGTACCCCTTCCGTACCGCTTCCGAGTGACGCACGTATCCGTACCTCTGTTCCGAAAGCAAGCCGAGCAGTAGATCCAACCGGATCCTCACATTTTCATTCGAAACGCGAACTTGACTTGACTCAGTGCAAGGAACCCGGAAAGCCTCGAAGATAGTACGCTCCGTACCAAGCAACAAGCCACTGTTTGAGTACTCGGAGCCACACGAGGACACCTTTCGGCCTGTTTCAAAGCATTCCAAGGGTACCAGTGTGTCAAGCACCCTCTGCTTAGTCATTTCCTGACAGTACAAGCCTTCAGGACCTCGCTTCCAAGGAACAGGCAACACCACTACAATACACTGTCAGTGGCCAGTACACCAGTCATCATGGGTAGCAGCAACAAGAAGAAGAAGAAGCAACAGCAGGAGCCCGGTACCAATGACACCACGTCATCAACACCAGCACCCAATGACAGCAAAACACAGAACAACAACAACAACAGGTCCACCACTGCAGAGACAACAGCTCCAGCTCCAGCTCCAGCTCCCTCTACCAACACACCTGTGGATCCCCCCTCTGTTTATGTGTTGACACCACATCACGGTGCCCACTCCAGTGTCGCTTCTTCCAACTTAGCCAACCATGACACTACAATGCTTAGCCAACACATTGAGCAGCTTACAATGGAACTACAGGCCACATCAGACAAAGCTGCCAAGGAGGCAATGAACAGATCAGAACAAGCTGCCAAGGAGGCAATCAACAGACAAGCCACCTTTGAGAACACACTTTCTCGGCAGCTTTCTACCTACTTGGACCAGCTCTCCCAACAACAGGAGGGCCTCAATCAGTCCAATGCCTCTATCCAAGGCCTGGTCACCACCTTCATTGACCAGACCAACAAGCAGCTTTCCTCTATGGGTATCGGTGGCATCCAATTTGATTCCCCATCTTCCCTCAATGGCCAGGTGCCCGCACTATCTGATTCGATTCAGCCATCCACCAAGCCTAGTCCTGAGATAAAGACTAGGGGGACCGATGCACTTTCAGATGGTGTGCCACAAAGTTTGTTGAGTGGAACTGAGGAGCCCATTCACTGGAAACGAAAAACTCTGCCAAACAATGAATTTGCTCTGTAGTTTCACTCTACAGAAGGGGCAGAGTGAACTCCCAGAGTTTTGGCTAAGTAATGAGTTCGAACAGGCCGCAGAATGAGTATGTGACCCGAGTTGGCATGACAGGGATGGCAGGCGCATGATTCGATCCTTGCACAGACCAGGTATACTACTATCTATATATGTATACCTATATATATTTATAACCACAGGTTAACCGTCCTAGAAGAGGAGTTGTCACATTCACAAAGTATACGAAAAGAAAACAATTACGCCCTCATGCAAACCAAAAAACAGTCAGGCTGCACTGACAAAAGACATATGGGTATGCAACGAAAGAAGGCAACAAAGAAGAACACATGTTATCTTATACGTTAATTTTTCAGGTCTAGAATAGTACCTAAAAACTTCCACCTCGAATCCTCCTGGCTAGCCGGATATCTTTTTGCATGATGGTGATTCTCTGGGCATGGATAGCACAAAGGTTGGAACATTGAAACATGTCCACAAGATGGGCTTCTGATGCTTGCTGGAGAGCTTCCATTGCAGACCTTTGGAACCTGATGTCTTTTCTAATATCAGAAGCTATGTCTCGACAAGACGCTGAAAGGGCAGTCCCCTGATTAGGAGATCGGTGACTTCTGGTACCTTCGAATTTCTCGTAGAGCCACAGTTCCTGGGCGATAGCGCTGTCGCTTTTTGACCAACACCTTCAATGGAGGAGGACCTTCCTGGCGCCCCGCCTTGCTAGCGCTTTCCGGAATCGGGATGTTGTCCGTCGACTACTTTGCTTGCAGTTGGTTTAGTCCTTCCATAATGGAGGAAATCAATTTTATGTCTCATTATTTTTGGACTGTGGATGTAGTCGTTAACTGCATGCATAGTAGCATGCCGTCTTGCTCTCTAGTACATACTTCCTGCTGGTATGATATAAATATAGTCGTTGCAGTACTGGGGCTGGGGCTGGTTGGGGTCATTCTGTTTCTATATACTGAAGGTTTGGGTTCGTTGGCATGAAATTCAAGCAATCTCGTTGGCATGAACTTTTTTTTGAAAAAGTGGATGGGGGAAGGGGGGAGAGATTTTGAAAATGTGTCAGTCTCACAAAATCCTGTCCGACAAACGAAAACGAAAAAAAAACAAGGAATAATATGCCACTCCCTGGTTCTTGGTTGATAGTGAGTGTGCAGAGTCAGAAGCGTATGCCAATGCTACCAGGATCTTGTATAGTGGTGGCCCTCTGTGTCTAGAAGAAATACCTGCAACCTTTGCTTTGAGTTCAAGCTCAACATGTGAGGGCTCCAGTGATAGGTGGGCACCAGAAACCTAAAAGACCACGCTCCAATTCACCTCCGGAAACGCGTGTCAGCGAGTCGAATCCTCTTTATGGAAAAGATGGGCCATGTTTTTATAGTGGATCGGGTGCTAAAAGTAAGAAGAAGAGAAGAAAAAGACCATGACAAGAAAGAATTGAACCTGTCAAGGGAAGAAGACTTGGTGAGAAAAGGACTGCAAGTAGAGGTGGTCAAAGGTTCCAAGGACCTGCCAAGCACAGACAAGGGGAGAGAAGGAGTCCCTAAGCAGCGGAGGGCGCAAGCGGAGAGAGCAAACAATCAAGGCTGAATACTTCACAGTAGAAGGATATCCCAAGAGAGTCATCTGAATACGAGCCTAGTGAGGGCACAGATAGTGTACAGCGCCAAGCCGAAGGCTTGTATGGACAGAGCAAAGGAGGACGAGGGAAGATGGCATCCAATGAGCCCTCGCGCACTGTGAAATCTGTC